CAGGTCATGATCCTGGAGTCCCGGGATCGAGTCCCACATCGGGCTCCCTGCTCGGCGGGGAGCCTGCTTCTCCCTCTGACCCTCCCCCCTCTCATGTGCGCTCTCTCTCTCTCATTCTGTCTCAAATAAATAAATAAAATCTTTAAAAAAAAAATGATTGCTATTACTTATATTTAGAATTATTTTTTTATATATTAATAATTCAAAACCTTGAACAGAACTTCATATATAGTGCTAACATCTTCAGGAATATATGATCTCTAAACCCACTAAGGCAACTATTTTTGGTGTATAATGTGGAGATTCCCAATTAGGTGAATTTGTAAACATAATTGATGACAATCAAACCAAATGTTCTTAGCCCTCAGGAGAACCACAAGATGAAGATGTGTTAATTGGAGAAGTGAATGGATTTCCATCCTTTACAAGGTCACCAAGGTCACCAGTAACTTCTTCAGAGAGACTACACCTAAATCTACTTAAATCTGATAAAGTCCTCACAAATGGGACCGAGAAGAACTCCAGTTCCTCCGTGTTCAACATGGATTACACTCCCTCTGGGCCCAGGAGAGCATGCTCTGGAACTTCATACGGCAAAGGGCCCAAGAGCACATTCCCAAATACCCATCGGTTTCAGTTAGTTATTTCAAAAGCACCCAGTGGGGACCTTTTGGATAAACATTCTGAACTCTTTTCCAACAGACATTTGCCATTCACTCCACGCACTTTAAAAACAGAAGCAAAGTCTTTCCTGTCACATTATCGATACTATACGCCTGCCAAAAGAAAAAAGGATTTTACAGACCAGCGGATAGAAGCTGAAACCCAGACTGAATTAAGCAGGTATGGCACATTCACAGCCAGTAGTAAGTCCTTCAGGGTGTTGTAGAATTAAATAATATTTCTTATTTTATTTCATGTACCTAATGTGTCAGACTTAAGGTCTGGTAGTGCCCTTTTGAACTGGATGAGATTAATGTGACTTTTCCTTTTGTATGTATCACTAGAACTACCTGAGTAATTGTTGAAAAGTAGTTATTAAACTTGTCAAGCTCCTTATAAACAGGAATATTACATATTTTAATTTATTGTTTCAAACATGGTATATGCTTTTAAATATACTTTCAGAGAATCCTTAAAATATGTCATCAACTAGTATTTGTGTAAATATGTCTATAGATTTGTGTTAAAAATGGCAAAACAATGGGCTATCAAGGAAAAAAACACTGTTTCTCTGACTCTCCCTGGGTTCCCTTCCTGCAAATATTCAAACCCACTCTTACATAGCAACAACTCCCCAGGAATAATTTAGCCAAGTGGAATAATTTCTGGAAATTAAGTATAATTTGCCTCAATAATATTTTCGTATTTGATGGTGCCTGACACATAATGAATATTCAGTAAAAGTTTGCCAAATGATTAAAGAAACAAACAAATCTTATAAAGTATTAAGTGTTAACTGATTTGTGATTGTTGTTCCTGGTGTTATTTAAACAACTATTTACCTGATCCTAGGTTTTAGTTATTTTTAAGAAAGCAAAAAAACAATTTAGGACTAGTATTCTTTTCTCTCGGTATAGATAAGAGGTACAGTAATATCAGATGACTCTGCATTCATTTAATCCCAAGAATTAAGGAATGGGGAGAAGTAAGGAAAGCAAGCATATGGTATCCTTTTCTAATTGTATGTATGACAGCTTTTGAGGATTAATAGTTCCCATTTCCCTAGTCCCATTCTATCCAGTGGAAATCTAGCTGCTATTCAAAAAAAAAAGGAAAAATAAGCTGTGTAATCCAAACCATGTCTATTTCCTGATTATATAATTAGAAATTACACATTTTATAAGAATAGATGGATTTCATCTCTTATGTGTGAGAGGTTTTTTAAGACTGTAAACTTATCAGGGTGTTTGTATTTTGAAGGCTTGACAATTGCTCCTTTTTAAAATATTACAGCTTTAAATCTGATTTTGAGACAGTTGACACCAAGAACTTCACAGACTCAGAAGAGAACACAAAGCAGGTAATAAAAATGAGATCTCTTTGTGTGCCACATTGGAATTATAGCTGCTTTAACTTAATAAAATATATATAGCTGTTTGGACTTGAATAATCTTCTGGTGACACTTCTTGCAGATAATGTAGCCAGTATAGAGAAGGACTACCTATTTATACATGGCTGTAGCTCTCTTTGAGTGGCCAGATGGATCCTGCCCAGTCTGGGAAATCATTTGATGCTAGCACTTTTTCTAGATGGTTGGTTGGCTGGCTAGAGAGATGAATAAATGAATAAAATAACTTAAATGTTGCTTTCAAAGATACAGACTTGGATCACTGAAGGAGCCAGAAAAGCTATACAGAAGTTTTTAGTTTCTGTGCCTGTATTTTTTTTTTTATTTGCCACTGATTATTGGAAATTATATAAGAATAGATGGTATCATTCTCTTATATTTGCTTTTACTTTTTTCTAGACCATAAGGCTCTTTTTTTATAGTGTTTATGTTTTGAGTGGTTAGCAGTCATTTCTTTTAAAATATTACAGCTTTAAGTCTGATTTTCATATATTATTTTTATTTTGGGTGTATTAATCATACACTTGTGTCCTAGTTTAAATTTATGGTTTATAAAAACAGTTTGTCTAATAAAATATCAAACACAGGGGCACCTGGGTGGCTCATTTGGTTAAGCATCTGACTTCAGCTCAGGTCATGATCTCAGGGTTCTGGGATCAGGAGTCTGGTTCTCCCTCTCCCTCTGCCTCACCCCCCACTCATGCACACTCTCTCCCTCCCTTTCTCTCTCTCTCATGAATAAATAAAACCTTTTAAAAAGAAGTATTTAATAAAATGTCAAACAGATTTCGGGGATAAAAGAATATAATCACACTGAACTTCTGTCTTCTCTTCTGAATATGGGTAGAGAATTGTCGGTTTCCATCTCAGCCATAAATACCTGTTTGACATGGGGCCCTGCCACTCAAAGCTCAAGGACAAATCGCTTATCCTCTGAGAGCTGAATTTTCACATCTAGAAAAACTACTTAACATGTAGGCTCATTGGAGGCATAGGCATAAAGTGCCTAGCCTGAGAAGGCCTCAGTAATGATGGCTATGACTAGCTTGAGATTTAGGAAGACAGTTAGCTCTCTAGATAACTAAATAAATTAAAGCCGAAGTCCATTTTCATGACATTGTGCTCCAAATGCTTATCCATAACCCTGTAAGACTCCGAAGGCAGTCGCTTAACCAGCTGAGCCACCCAGGCGCCCTGTATCAGTCACTTTTTCCTATGGGATATCTCCACTCTGCTTCCTTGACTTTTTTGAAATTTGCTATTTTGCTTTATTTCTGCTTTCATAATGTATTTTTGAAGCAAAATAAAGATTGAGTCTTCTCATTACATCCCCAGGCATCTAATTGTATGACATATGATATCAAAGGAAAAATAGCTCCTTTACCCTTACAAGGGCATGACTTACCGTGGGATGAGAATAAAGATGGCACTCTTCAGTGTTCCTCACCAAGGTAAGCAGGTTACAGAAGTCATTACAACTGTCTATTTAACTGCTTTCCTGTGTAACAGACATATAATATTTGCAACATAAGTACTACTCTAATTACATGCACTCTAATCTATTTTAGTGTTATACAGTTCAGCGGCAGTGTTAGTTTTACTAAGGAAATTGTACAAAGTAGGTACTCAAGAAAAGTTTAAATGAATTCATTTTGCTAATTCATTAAGAAAGAAAAAGGCGATACTGGCTTGTATTATTTGCCATTGCTATTCCTATGAAAAAGGATTTTCCTGGAGCACCTGGGTGGCTCAGTTGGTTAAGTGTCCAACTCTTGATTTCAACTCGGGTCATGATCCTGGGGTCATGAGATCAAGCCCCGCATTGGGCTCCATGCTGGGTGTGGAGCCTGCTTAAGATTCTCTCTCTCTCCCTCTGCCCCCC